TTGAAAGCAGGAGGGACAGAGGGAAAACAGCACAAATTATCTAATGAGCTTGTGCAGATGGTTAGCAGAACAGGGATTATAAAATATAGCAAAAAAGATAAAATTTACTAGGGGTTGCAAAGCACAGGACGTTATGGAGAGCCGTGAACGCCAACGTCCTGAAGGGACACGGCACACAGAAGAAGAATGTAATTTTTAACCCTTTACCAGCCTTTGTTTTCCGTATTTTGTTATCCATTCATATAAACTCGTTAAGATGATTGCTCGATGTTTCTTCCAGCTTCGCTTGCCTTTCATCATGTTTTGTGCGTGTTAAATTCTCTAAGCCGTCTTTCCTCATTAAATGTCCTAGAAATTTCAATTGCCTCTTTCTGATTTTGTGTATAAGTTTCCTTGCTTCTATTTACGAAAGACTTCCTTGTTGGCACATAATGAGGAAAGAAGGATTAGAAAATCTGACACTCAGAGGACATATTAAAGGGACGAAGAGCGATAGCTCATAAGCCACTTAATGAGTTTGTGTATAGGGTTGGGAGAACAGCCTTTAAGAGAGATAGCAAAAAAAGACTTTACTAACATTACTAAGAAGTACAAAAGACAAAATATTGGGGAGAGTCATGATCGTCCACGTCCTCAAGGGCCACGACGCACAAAAGAATACTAGTACAACATTATTTGTATTTTCCCCGAAAATCACCAAGAAAAACAATATTACGATTTATTTATGCAATAACGAGTCTCATTTTTAAAAAAATGTCGCGATCATGACTCTCCACAGTTTCCATTGCTCTAATATCTGTTAATTGATATGCATTTCCATTAGTGTCTCCATAGATTGGAATTCAGAGATTTCCTTTGCCTGTTTACCACCCAGTTCACTTCAAATCTTTTTCAACGGCTGTTTAGCATATGCCTCACCAGGGCTACATAACCAGTTTTGAATTCAGAGTTATTCTTCTCCTAGACTGGCTGCCAATCGCAGTTAGTTAAGCTAAGCGTGCCTTTCTATTTAACCCATAGCTAGGAACACCAATTTACCCATCTTGCACCGGAAGTCAAGTTGTAGGTGAGGTTTCAGCCAGTCTTACGAGACGGTATAAATGAAGAATATTTTGAAAGAATCAAATTATTCCGCCTTTTCATCTTAACGTATAATCTCGGATTAACAACACAACTCCTGATCTATACGAAAACAGCATCGCAGATTTTTGCTTACAAGTAGAAGATTTAAATTTGAGGAGTCGACTTTTACTTGAATTCAAAATGTTCCTTCTTATGTAGCTGACTTCATGAAAATCAATTCGGCGTCATTGGATTATTGAACCCAACATCTGGTCGTTTGCCTTTTGACAAGTTTATATTTATTTCTCTGGGTTTTTTTTTTATGTACATTTAAACTGCTACATTGAAAGAAAGTGTTCGTTTTTTTTTCTTTTTTTCAGCTTTGGTGAATTTTTTAGCTTTCGATCTCCTCGGTGAATTGAAGCCTGGTGTTGATGTTTTACGTTGAGTAATATGCGTAAGCAAGCAAATCACACTGGCATCGGCATAGAAAAGTTATAAATGAGTATAATCGTAGAACGCTGGCAATTATTCATGTTCTCTATCAAAGCAGACACATTCCCATACGCAGTGATGTTACTGTAAAACTAATACCGCTTAAGAACTGCTTCAATAACAAGAGCAGAATAAAATAACATCAAAGGAAATTTAGTGATTTTCATGCCAAAATATTCAACCCGAAAGAGAGAAAAAAATGATTTATCTATAAAATTTGTCTTCTTTAAATAAATAAATAAACTAAGGAAATTAAACCCCCACATTTACGCCATGTCTCGAGCAACTGATTTTTTAAAAGCAAGGAATAAAATTAAAGATTGTTTCTTTATATTCATTTTTTGATTTTTTTTTTACTTTTAAATATTTTATTATTATTAAAAGTCAACGTTCTCAACGCAGTATAACTTAAAAGAGAAAGAAAAAAATTACAAGAAAAATTAAAACGAAAATATAAAATAAAATAACATTTAATTTCGACTTTTTGCCAATACCAGTGATTCAAATCACGTTAAATCACGTTTGAGCTCTCGTGCCTGTTTCGTTTATACAAGTTTGCGCATGTATGCTTCGGAAAATTATTGCCTGGATGACACATATGGCGCAAATAAATAAATGAAGAAGAAACATTTGATACGGTCCGAATGGAGAATCGTGTAATGATATCCCCGTAGTTCATTTATTGAAGAGATAACGGTTCAGTTCTATCGTCAAATATAGGAAAGCGTTTCTTTGGTATCACACATTTATGGTAAACAAGCGATAGTCGTTTTATGAACTGATGATATTTTTGTATGTACATTTACTGTTGTTTGTGGCTCGCTTTTAAAACATTTCCGTTTTCCATTTGCTTAGATTTTAGAGAATACTTTTCTTTTTGAGGTTATTTTTTTTATTATTGATCATACTTAATTCTATCTGCCGTATACCTTCAGAACATGGGTGATCATGGCTCTTCGCAACGTCCTCTCCTATGTAGCACTTAATAAAGGTCATTCTCTATTATTCTTACTTATATTCTTTTTTAAAGACATTCATTTATAAATACGTAAGTTATAGAAAAAAAAGTTTAAAAATGGTGTTACTAGTCGTAGCTTGAAAAACCGAATTGTTAAACCTGAATTCGAATTCTGATATACATATATATATATATACAAAAATATATATTTTTACAAATTGTTCAAGGCCCAAGAGTCACTCAAGTTAGAAGGTTACTGAATAAAGTTGGTGTATGTAGATAAGAGATGGATATTAAAACTAGAGTTACTAGTCGTAGCTTGAAAAACCGAACTGGTAAACCTGAGTTCGAATCCTGATATATATATATATATATATATATATATATATATATATATATATATATTACGAATTGTTCACCCGATACAAGGCCCAAGATTCACTCAACGTAGAGGGTTACTGAATAAAGTTGTATGTAGATAAGAGATGGATATAAGAAGTGAAGCTATGTAGGAAATAATAAAGATTAACTCTTAACTTGAAAGGTTAAAATTGAAGGGATCGGGGAAGTACCCCATCAGGAGTCTGTTCCACAAAGTAGCGATTCTTAGAAAGAAGATGTCTGAATAGAACTTCCTTCTTGCTAATGAACTATGAAGAGAATGAGAATGATTCGTTTTAGTGTATGTGACATATTGAATCATAGTTGCGAAAGTCTGAACTGGTGGAACTAAGGAATATACATTGTCGGGATATTTTTCATAGAAATAGCGACAAGGTAGCAATGGGCTTGCGATGTTTCATCTGTGGGGAAGTGGTTGCATAGTGAGAAATAATTCATCACCCACAAAGTCGCTTATATATCACTATAACAATAGTGTTCCTGGCAATGTCAGAAATTCGTTTTCCCTTTTAGTTTTTCGTGACAACCGCGGCCACTTTACTGACTGGAATGGCAGACGTAGCAGAGGAAAGACGTATGGAAATGATTTTAGAAGCAATAACAGCATTTTTTTTTTATCTTTTCACCCCAGGAAAGGCGATAAGACGCAATGGGTTACTGAGAGTGAAAGACTGAGGGAGAAAAAAACTAAGAAAACATGATTGAGGTTAAAAGCCAATTAGAACAGGATTCAATAAAACAGATGATAGCAATTGACGTTGCATTTACATTTTAAAGAGTGTAATTAGCAGGAAATCTCATGGATCGACAAGAATCTCTTCTCATCACCATCGTAAGATGTCATGGTTTGTTCATGTTATACGACATAACAGCCTCTGCAAGGTCATCATGCAAGGCACTGTTGAAGTAGGCACAAGCGTGGATGACGGCAACGCAAGAGCTGGCCAGACTTGACGGACATGGCAATTATGGAACACCTGAGAGCCACCGCCAACAGATCATCTCTTTCTTCAAACCATTAGGTCACCACCCCGACGACTGAAGCCTAATGATGACGAATTGACAGCAAAGCAAGAAGCAAGGAGAGATTTCCACAGGCGAGAAGTACGACAGAATTTAACTTACGGTTACATTTAGCAATTTCAACATTAAAATAATGAGACCGAACTGCCAACTTATTTACGAATATGGCAACTAGATTTGGCGGTTATATTCATTTGTATTGTTTACTATCTTCCTTGTCATATTTCCTCTGTTTTTTTTTTCACTCTCAGTAACCCTTTGCTTCTTAGTGACTTTAATCGCCATGATTGGGGGGGGTAGGATTCAAGTAAAATTGCAATAAAGAAAGATGAGCGAGATAGTAAAGAGATACAGCCTGCGAAAAAGAGAGATATTAAGAAAAGAAGAGAGAGGTAAATTTTGAAAATTATATAATGAGAACTCCTATCCCACAGACGATACCTTGCTAGCTTCTCACTACTCTAGCGCGATTACTATGGCAGTTTTTCAAACGAGCTACATTCCTTACTTCCGCCAGTTCAGACTTTCCCAAATAGGACCCACCAAGCCATGACGTGAACGGCGTCAAATCATCCTCATTCTCTTCGTATTTCTTTGGTAGGAAATTCCACTCCGACAGCTTCTTCACCAGGACTCTTACTTTGCGGAACAGAGAGGATGTTTCCTCGACAGCTACACTCTTAACCTCTATCCTTTATATTCTCAAAATATTACTCCCTCCTTCCCCTTCCCTTAAGCTTTTACAAGAATCTCACTCAGTAGGCTCTTGGGCCTTGTAATGGGTGAACGAAAGTAAAAAAAGAAAAAAAAAACAAGACTATCTCTTTTGAGCCAATATATGATGGCTGTGTTGGTAAATATTTCTCTTGGTCTAACCACCTGCAGTAAGCAACTACGTTTAGTTTTCAGTTTTCCGAGGGAAAAATTTCTGACTGAGGATGAAACTATTTTTTTTTTATTTACTTGACGGCACCCAGCAAAGAATGTTGGAACATATTTTGGATTCTCTTGGAATACCTGGCTGCCAATATGCCAAAATCATTAGTCCGTCTATATATTATTAGTCTCTTTCTTTCTTTCTTTTTTGGTCTAGTAGTGAGAAGTTAAAGTCTGAGTGTCGGGGGGGGGCGTTACTCTTTGCGGGCGGAATCGAACGAAATGAATCGAGAAGAGGAAAGCAGACGAAAAAAAAAAAAGAAAGAGAAAACACAAGTCGCGAGGTACAAGGCTGAGAAGGAATGTCGTAGGAATAAGGGAGAGAAAACGAAGAAAGATGAAGATGAGAATTTAGTGACAGACAGGTAAACAGACAGATAGATAGATAGATAGATAGATAGATAGATAGATAGATGAGGTTAATAATTAAGAACCAAGAAAAAAGGACTGAAAGTAGAAAAAGGAGAAGAATTAAAACTAAAAAAGATGATGGTAATGATGGTGATGACTAGAAAAGGTAACAAGAAAGAAAGAAAGAAAGAAAGAAAGAAAGAAAGAAAGAAAGAAAGAAAGAAAGAAAAAGACCATGGAAGAAAGAAAGACTGAAAGAGAGAAAGGTCAGGACAAAGAAAGAAAGGAAGGTCGGAAGAAAGAAAGACCGAAATAAAGAAAAGCTGAAAGAAAGAAAAAAAGAAAGAAAGAAAGACTGAAAGAAAGGCCGAAAGAAAGAAAGAAAGAAAAGAAAGAAAGAAAGACTGAAAGAAAGAAAGGCCGAAAGAAAGGAAGGAAGGAAGTAAAGAAAGAAAGAAAAAGAAAGAAAGAAAGAAAGAAAGAAAGAAAAAATAAAGAAAGAAAGAAAGAAGAAATGAATGATGGAAATATCAATTGACATCATGATTGCAATGCTGATGCTTAATTCTGATATAACTTTTACTAGACCTGCCTGTCTTCTTAAAATTTCTTTTATTTACATTGAATTGATTTGATTTTGAGTATATCTTCTCTTGTCTTCTAAATTAATATCAATACCAGCAGAAACTGAAGCATTTGCATATCCTCCATGTACTTCCCCATTCACTCCTTGTATAACCTTCTGACTTTTTTCCTTACTTTTGGTTAAAAACTTCTTTATCCTCTTCCTCTTTTTTTCTTCCATCCTCCATCTTAGTTTTTCTTTCTTCCACTTATTCTTTCGTCCTTTTTCATTTTCTTTCTTTCTTTGTCTCTTCATTCTGACCTTTTATTCAACTCTCTTCTTTCTTCGTCTTTATTTTCTATCTTTCATATACACTTTCCTTCGATGTCTTTCTTATTTTTCTCTTCCTTATTTTTTTTCTTTTTTTTCTTCCTTTCTTCCCTAATCTCTTTCTCTCTGTGTTTCTTTCCCTTCCCACTTGCTTCTCACGTTTTCTTTTTTTCTGCATTTTCTTTCTTTTCTTCTTTACACTTGAATGGAAATATATTTTTTTTTAGCTAAATAGGCTTGTCCACCAACTAGTGAAGGAGATTTCACACTGACCCTATATAGATATACCTAAATACATTCAATTATTATAGTTTTAAGTAGCATAAGAGGTTGAAGGTTTTATTATACAGTGTCACCCGGATATAAGAGAGTTGTCGGGACCGGATAAGAAGTCTCTTACATCCGGGTTTCTCTTATATCCGGGTTTGGTCTATTTTATATACAGGCTCTAATTTGGGACCAGAGAAAATCTCTCTTATATCCGGGTTTCTCTTATATCCGGGTCTCTTATATCCGGGTTACACTGTAATAGAAAATGAATTTTCCAACAATAGGCCATACGTTTATAGTAAAATAACGAATATAAAATTAAACAAAAATTACTCAAAAATATATTTTTTCTCGAGGAACCCCTAACGACATTTTGTGGAACCTTAGGTTTCTGAGGAACACCGGCTGAGAAACACCACACTGCAAAGAAATCAAAAAGTATATTTCGTTGTATTTCTTTAAATGTACTCAACGAAATTATTCTTTATTGTTGTACAATGCGCAATATTTCTGTACCGAATTTTTGTTTAATAATCATTCTATTCATTAAATCACGAAGTTCATGGTTTGGGCTAAGTCCACCTGTTGAGGTCAGGATATTCACACAGTTTTTTTTTTTAATCAACTTCAGCCCAAGCAAGGCATTAAAGCCGCTAAGACACAAAAGGTTACTGGATGTGGAAGAATTAGAAAACACAAACACCACTAAGAAGCGATTACTGACGAAGAGTAACCAGGAGGATAGTAAATAACGATTGACTTTGCATTTAAATGTTTGCTATTCTCTATGAACCTTAGTTACAGTTTCCTCGAGAGAGAGTGCACAACACAGGCGTGTTCAGTAGCCGAACAAGATCACGACACTCCCATTCTCCGTCCCTGGTGGCTTATTATATCATGCTGCTGGAAGAGGCATTGTACGCAATTCACATCAGACACTAAGGCAACCGGGAGCTCTAAGGGGCTTGACTTGGGTCAGTCATGGCCGCCAAGTAAATAATCGAATCCTGCTGGTATCAATGAATATTTACTTAGTTTATCGGAAAGCCACAGTGAAAATCAAACTTACTATACGGACAGACATATTTACCAGCCACCCTTATCGCTATCATTTTATGGCAAATGCCCAATTTTATGCCTCTATGTTTGTAAGGGTATTTATACATGGATAATCTTATAAACCGCTAATATTTAATCTGATTCTTCATGCGTGGGGATTAATGTAGACACACATGCAAATATAAATATCTACACACACACACATATATATCCAAGTATAGGATTGTTATATACGAAATGAATTCCAAGAACCAAAAAATGCTATTCATAAAAGAGTGCTCAATATACAGTAGATAAAATATAATTTATTCGAAAATTATAACATAAATATCTTATAAAATCGCTACAAAAATAGCCATTTTAATTCAACACCTCTGGTGTCTTATCAAGTGATAGTGTTGAATGTAGAATACACAAGCGCGCACACATACATTATGCATCTGATATACATTATCATCTGAATCCCGCATAGAAATTATACACACGAACGCTGCTTGATAAGGCAAATGCACGTGAAGTCTGCTTATCCAAGAAGATCAAACAACATAAAAACAAAACTACGAGAATTTTTTTCCATATCTCATTCCCTGGTGGACTTCCGCACGCGTTCTTCCCAGTAATTCTGATGAACACGCATCTTTTCTTGATCTCTTCTTTACCTCTAACCCTGACTCATGTTGTACTCTGCAGCTCTGCCCTCTTGGCAACTCCGATCAGGCGGCAGTGTCTGTAAATATCTCTTTCCGCTCTCCCGTCAGCCAATAACCTGCTACCAAAATAATATCTTTCTATTATCAACGCGCTGATTGGGATTCGTTCCATGACTTCCTTCGCGATGTCTCTTGAAATGGAGTTTTTAATCATCCTGTTTAAAAATGTGGCATTGAGGTCACTTGGTTGAAAGTCGGCATCGAAGCTTTTATTCAAGCACGGAAATACTAAGTGAAACCAAACTCATCTCATTGATTCTAACTTGTATCTCTCTCTCTCTCTCTCGCTATATATATATATATATATATATATATATATATATCATTCTGTCCATATCTCTCTCTCTCTCTCTCTCTCTCTCTATATATATATATATATATATATATATATATATATATATATATATATATATAAATCTATTTATATCTATCTATCTATCTATCTATCTATCTATCTATCTATCTATCTATCTATCTATTCCAAAGGATACGTATTTATTCATTGGAAGTCATTGATGATGGCGCTAATGGGAAGATAGAAGCTAGTCAATTTTGGTTTGAAACTAGTTTATTCATTCACGCCAGAAGGTTTTTCTTGCCTGAGTCCATCTTTTAAATCTAAAATCAACCATTCGTCCTTGCATGGAATGCTGCTGCCATATATGGTCTGGTGCCCCCGCTGTTCATCTCGAGGTCCTCGACAAGATCCAGAGACGGATATGCAATATGATTGGTCCTGATCTGGCATCCCATCTACAGTCACTTTCTCACCAACGTGTTGTGGCTTCCCTCTGTCTTTTCTACAAGTGCTTTCATGGAAACTGCTCCAACAAGCAACCTTCACTGGTTTCCAAACTACATGAATTTAAGCGTGCCACTAGGTTGAAATCTCCGTCCCACCCTTTCACTGATGAAAAGGCTAAATGTCGCCATCTCTTTTCTTCTCCAGCAACTTATCTCGCACCTCCCGTCAGTGGAACTCCCTTCCTATAATCTTCAAATATTCAAATGTAATGTCAATCGACATCTTCTGATGCCTTGACCTTCTTCTTCTCTTTATCCTTTTCTTAAACACTCTTCTTTACTCTTACACTCACTCTCTGTAACCCATTGCGTGCTAGTGGGGTGATTTGCTTATATATATATATATATATATATATATATATATATATATATATATATATATATATATAAAGACATTTTTTATGTTTATACGTTCTTTTTTTATAGATACAAATAATTAAGTAAATGGTCTGTTTATAATAAACAGTATTAACAACATTTACCGGCCTGAATGTCCGACAAATTTTCATAAAAATATGCTTCCTCCGACAGGAATCGAACCTGTATCTTATACAGAACCGTCATATAGCCTGACGTGCCTTAACCGATTGATCGATTAAGGTCGATTCTACTGTTTTTTTTTAAAACACAATTTTCCATGATTTTTTCTCATACGTTCATATCTGCTCAATGCGTATCCAAATGTAAACAAATGACGTCACACATTTTGAAATGGACAAAGTCCGACAATTAATTTTAATACAAATATTTAATACTTAATTATTAGTATCTATAAAAAGAACGTATAAACATAAAAAAATGTCTTAAAAAATAATTGTCGGACTTTGTCCATTTCATAATATATATATATATATATATATATATATATATATATAACTACACTCATCTCGGAAAACCTTCGGTTTCTTGATTTGCTAATGGTCAAATCAATCTCGAAGGAAAAAAAGGTTTTAAAAAAAAAAAGAGCTAGGATCGTGAACGTCTGTCGAAAATAATCGTACAGCATAAAGGTCCGAATCCCAAAGAAAAAAAAAACGATACGAGTAATCAACTAACTTAAAAGTGCTCATACAAAAGTAGAGCAGACCTAGTCAAACCTAGAGAGCCAGACAAGGTTTGACTATATATATATATATGTTGACTTCTATGGTCACTTTTATATTTACACACGCTCTATCTCTGATATTGAGCACTTTATCCCATAAATATAGCACATCTTAAGACTATATTTTCATATATATATATATATATATATATATATATATATATATATATACACACACACAGAAGAGGGGAAATCAAGATCAATCGAGAAGCCCTTTACAAAAAATGCTACGAGAATTAAATCGAGCTTAGAACATTTTACCATTCTCTAGTACATTCAATTGTTAGATATTTGTATTCTTACAGCCTTTCTTGTCTTCATCACAATTATATAGATGCTTCACTCTTCCTTACTATATTTATGTAATTATTCAATTTTAAATGGCTTGCGGCAGCATCACACTGAAACACCAGTTCCCGTACGATCACAGGAGGAAGTTAAGCAACGTCGATCTGGGTCAGTACCTAGATGGGTGACCGTTCGGGAATACCAGGTGCTGTAAGCTTGGATATGCGGCTGGGGTAATGGAGAAAGGCTCGGAATTGTTAATCAGAGATCCGAGTTTCAATTCCCGTTGAGTTCATTATATTCACTTATGTGCAAATACCCTTGGGAAAGGTATGAATCCAGCGTCTCCCAGCTATGGGTTAATTAGTAAGATTTGTATTACTAAACCATTATTATGTTAAAAAAAAAATTCTTATAATCTGAAAATATTTTCTGTCTTTAAATAACCTGCAATGGGTTGATAAGCCGTAAAAAACAAATCAACCAACCAAATTAATTCTAAAGACGCCAGGTAATTATGAGAAAATGTCAAATCATCTTTTAAACTGCTATTTACTTGCACAGTATTTTTTAAAAATATTTAGATTTCAAAGCAAGCCTAAAAAAAAAAAAAAAAAAAAAAAAAAAAAAAAAAAAAAAAGTCTCTTCTTGTAGCGGTCAGTCTAGCGTTTACAAAGTTTGCAATACAAACCCGTTGATAGAAACAAAGGAAAAAATATACCCTCACTTCAACTGAACGCATGCGCAGGTTCTTTCCCGCTAAAGCCGAGCGCAGCTGTTCGTGACTTTCATTGATCGAGAAATTCTTCCTTTCGATATTTCTTAGACTTTTTCATTTCCAAGTTTTCCTGCGAACTTTTTTTTTTTTAAACTTTGTTGATTATATATTTCCAAAATATAAAAGTTGGCATTTTCAGTCGAATTTGCAAATGTTCCTACGTCGAAAAATAATGAGGTAATGCTTCAGAAATAAAATGAACAGCATTGTCTGCATTTAAAACAGTTCTACAATTGCAGAACTGACATCTTCTTTCTATCAAATGATTGAAAGTTAGGGCAGATCTCCGGAAACACTGACCTTATGCAAACACACACATAGTATTTTAAATGTTATATTTAGTAGATGCACGTGTTTGAGTAGACGTCCTATTTTTTTATAATGTAAATTACACGTTCCGGCTTGCGTATTCGAGAGTTTAAATAAGGAAATCGTATCGTACGGTAGGGTTCGAATCTGCGTCCTTCTTGTAGGCGGAATCACACTCTGATCCGATGGAGTTTAGACGGCTCAGACACGGAGAGCTTTACAGCCCGTCAAGGTTCAATTTTTACCCTTTTACATCTCTCGTCCAGCTCTACTCTATATACTAACTTTATCTATTTTTATAATCAGTTCACCGCAAGCAAGGCGATAATGCCACTAAGACGCAACGGGGCTACTGGGAGTGAAAGAGAATGAAAAGACTAGAAAAAATCGGAAACTGAATCCTAAACAGGAAACAAGATATACACCCATACTCCTGTTCAAAAGAGCAGAGAGGAGTGTAAACCGGACGATAGGCGAACCTATGCGAACTGATTAATTGATTTTGCTTTCTACGGTGTATCAACTTTTTGCAGGTTATTTAAAGCCAGAAAATATTTTTAGATTGTAAGATTTTTTTCATTAGATAATAATGATTTTTACTGATACAATTTCCCTAATTAACTTAATTTCTAAGGACTTAATAGATTTTAATTCCAATTACATATTACTATTTATTACATTAAACGTTATTAAAACTACCAGCGTGGATTGATAGTCATAATTTACACTGTTTTCAAAGCCGTTTATCCAATGTTACTTTGACAGAGCATGGCGATCTGGGAGATAAATAATAAAAATCAATGGAAAATAAGATGTAAGAAATACAAGCCAAAGGTTAATTACTTAATAAATTGCTTTTTATTGTCAAAGATAGAATGAACATTAATATCCTTGCAAGTGAAATTTAATTTTAAGTTTTTAAATCTCCACCCCCTTTTTCCTCATTATATAACCCATAAATTTCAGCTGTTTCTTTTTAGTTGTGTATATTACTGTCCTTGTAGTTTCCATTGACTTTAAAATGTTTTTGTTGCTCACATCACAAAACCGCCATATTGCTAATGCGGGGAAAATATTTGCTATTCGAATCTAGATATTGTCATTTGTTCTGATGATTGCGCAAAAATAGTAATCCGAAAGTTCGAATAAATGCTTCCCCAATCTTCTACAATCTTAACACGGCGCATCTCGACGTGGTTAATGGTTAGCAAGTTTGTCTCACTAAATCAATTACGACTGAATAGTGAATTTGATCCTTACTGAGTGACCCTTACTTTCGGCTTTGTGCCACATCTAAGCTACGTTAAGAAAATCACCACTACACTCTTAACTTGTTCAAGTTAACCGTAATCTTCCACGCATATCAATATAAACAGTGCTTCTTACTCTCGAGTGGCACTTGGGCCTTGTGCAGAGTGAACATTATTGTAAAAAAACACATCCACATGAGTGACCAAGGCTGTTAGAATTTAGGTGTTTTTGCCGACTCGTGTTTTTTATATCTTCTAGATAGATTGCCAACAAAAATTTGAAGGAATTCTATCTGCTCATTAGTACACCAGACAGTTTTGAATTCAGAGTTTTTCTTCTCCTAGACTGGTCGCCAACCACGGTTGAAGTGATTGTATCTTTTTCATTAGAAAAATAGCCTCCAAACAGTTTCATATACCAAATTTCACTCACAAAACTTAGGTCAATTTATGCTTTTCGGATACTCCCCTCTTGATACAAGACGATATTATAAAAAAAAAAATTCTTGACTAATCGACCATGTTGAGATTTGAAACTCGAGACTCATGGTCACAATACTTACGTGATTTAGTGATTTATTTGTTTCTTATGTATTTGCAGTATTTAATATACGGAATAAGCAATTGTAAAAATCTGAAGAAGTTTCAAATTCCAGTCTAAGCACATTTTTAAAGAAATGAGAATATTATGCTTACTTAATATTTCATCTTTCTTCTTAAACCAAAACAAGAGACTTGACTAAATCTTAAATATAATTTGTAAGAACAGTTTAATAAAATGCGCCAAATTAGAAGATTCACAATGATGCAATACTTATTTACACTTGAACAATTTCTCTCTTAATCGAAATGACAACAAAGTTGAGGATAATAGTCCGAATGGAAATAATGTGAATAATAATAAATCTTAATTCCAGAAGTTCAGATAAGAATGCAATAGTTTTGCAAACACAAAGCATTATCTGAATAATTTAGCAACAATGTCGTCAACATTTGGTTCCTTGCAAATTTAGTCTATGTTTTTAAGAATATTGGAGAATGTTGGCAATGTGAGATTTGTGTGTAAATTTAGACATTTTTCGCATTCTCATTATGTAGTGATTTCATTTATACGGCCGACAAATAACTCCCTCATCAACACGTAGCATGGGTTTCTGGCACTTCTTAACGGAACGTTCCCTCCACAAGATCATATAAAAAATTCCTTGATTAAGTGTCCATTGAAAGATTCGAAACCAGAGCTTCATAACGCTTTAATAGCTCGGCCATAGTTTTATTACCACTTTTCCAAGATCAAGATTAAAACCAAAGTTCTACAAATCTTATGGTTTTTGTGTTAGACATTAATTGGAAAAATTAGCAGAAATACATTCGGTAATTTGAAATACGCAAAAAACAAGTTCCAAGGACGAAATGCAGAAAGACATCAAAATGGATGCCAATGCACTCAGCATTCAGTACGTTTTGTATGCCTGTTTGTTTTAAGACCACAAAGCAAGCTTTTATAAATAACACATGCTATGTAGATTGTTTTCTTCTTAAATATATGTATAACTAAAGTGACCATGCTTTGAAGAAGTTATTATGCTTGTATATACTCTAGAATGTGATAATACTGACATGCCTTGTTGAATAAAATAAGAACAGCTTTAGAAGATGTATGTTGTCATTCGCCTTGAGACAGAGTATCCGTAGATAACCAATCTCAAGTGTTTAATGTCCGTGAACTCTGTTCTGTGTTTATTGCTGGATTTGCCACAGAGAATCAACAATTGTCATTGACGCAGAAAAAAAAGGATGAATTGTAAAGAGCTGGGAGTTTTTGTCACAGCGACAATAGGCAGAACACAAGGCGCTATGTATTTCATTTCGGGATAACATTTTCTGTCGGCCATTGTTAACGGTAAATCTGTACGGCATTTTTGTCGGCTGCCGAACGTCGCGCCGTTACTTTGGCAACGCGGCTAAACAGCTGCCTGCTACGATGCTCCTTGTGTAGCCTCCAGTGTCTTTGTGTGTGGCTCCGTGTCGGTATAGGCTGAAGAGCGAAAAGATATGCCTGATGTCATATCAGACATCAAGGACAAGATGAAACGCTTCATGGTGACACGAAAGTGAAAACAATAAAAGAGAGAGAGAGAGAGAGAGAGAGGGATGGAGAGAGGGGGTGGAGAGAGGGAGACTAGAACAAAATGTGATGTGGCGAAAAAATTATGGAAGAGAAGAGTATAAGAAAAACACTAGAAAATTGAGACAGAAGAAGAAATATGAAGATAAGGGAAAGCAAGAAGAAATAAAGAAAAAAAGAAGAAAATAAACAAACAATAAAAAAAAGTCGCAAAGAAAATGAAAGAATCAAAAAGAAAGAATCAAAAAGAAATAAGGAAAGAAGAATAAAAAAAAAGAAACAATAAAAAGAAAGAGTAAAAAAGAAATACAGAAAGAATTAAAAAAAGAAAAAGAGAAAGAATTAAAAAAAGAAAAAGAGAAAGAATGAATCGAAAACAAAGAAAAGAAGAAAGAAGAGATGAAAGAAAGAAAGAAAGAAAGAAACAAACCAAGAAGACGATGGAAAGGAAGAAGCCAAAAGAAATAAAAAAATTAAGAGGTGAAAAGAAAAAAAAAACTAAAACACAAGAAAAGAATCAGATGGGATAGAAGAAAGAAAGAAAGAAAGAAAGAAAGAAAGAAAGAAAGAAAGAAAGAAAGAAGGAAAGAAAGAAAGAAGGAAAGAAAGCAAGAAAGAAGGGTAAAAAGAAAGAAACAAAAAGAAAGAAACAAATAAAGAAAGACAGAAAGAAGGAAAGAAAGAAAGCGAGAAAGAAAGGCAAGAAAGGCAGCAAGAAAGAAGAGTGAAAAGAAAGAAAGCAAGAAAGAA